TGGTATCATCGATTGTGGACTCTGCTCTCCTCTGAGCTTCAGTTTCCTCCTCTTTAGGGCCAGGGTGATACTATCTCCCACCTCAGAGAGTTTCTGGAAAATGTAAATTGTGATTGAAAAGCTTTGGAGGAGAGTTGAATGTTTACCTCACTGCATTACCTATAAAGTTGCTCAAAAGATGTTACAGAGAAATTAGGTTGTACTGGGGGAACTTAGTCCAAGATCTGAAATAACAAAGGTAAGGATTAATAAAAAGCCTGACACATCACCTTCTTTCGCAAGGCCCTATCTAATGTAAGCTGTCAGGACCAGTGGCTCTACCAGCTTTGAAGCACACAGTAAAGGTCCTAGTGGGAAAGCTGGGCAAGTTCTGGTTCATTGCTAGACCTCTGTTCTCACTTGGTGATGTGAGCCAGTTGCTCCTTCTCTCTGGGCCTTTCCTTGGGAAAAAGTCATCAAGCTTATCTGACACTATTTGTGGGATGCAATTACAAACTGAAATCCACTATACATGGTTACCGTTCTTCATTACGCTTAGCAGATGTGGTTTTGATTTTCGGGTGGGCTCGGGGGGTTAGAGGTCCCACTGACAGCAACAAGACCCTGGCTGATGCTAGGAACCACCTCATGCTATATGCCCTGGTCACCAGAGGAGCCACCTGCTAGGATGGAAGGTGATAAGCAAGGACCTACCAAGGCTGAGACCTGCACTGTTTGTTGTCTAACAGGCATTAAGGGCTGGCTGCTTCAGCTCCAAACCAGATGGTCCTTATTGTCCTTGTTGAGGTGCCTCTCTCTCTTCCTGTGGGTGTACTGTGTTGTGGGCTCCCTGGGGAAGGTTTATCTGTCTGTCTTCTGTTTCACCTACTAATCTTCTGAAAACACAGGCAGAAAGCAACAGGCAAAAGCTTGGCTGGGGTAGCAGCCAAGTCACCAGGGAGTATACGAGTTTTTTCCCAAGTTGAAAACTTGGGAGAAGTCTCCAAGTGGATTTTGGGGGAATCGTCTTAATTATTCTTCTTAGTAGGGGAGCAGAAGCTTCCTGTGAAAGAGTAGGCCTCAGATCTGAGTTACTTCTAGACTGCATGCTCTCGGGTCTAGTTAATTTTGGTGCATGCTGATTTTGTTTTTTATTTTTTAGTTCAAAATGTACTACATGGGAAAAATATTTTCAACATGGTTTTCCTTTTCTCAGTCTCTCCACTTCCCCCACTACCAAACTCCTTTCTTTCCTTCTTTAGAAAGCAAACAGGCAAATAAAACAAAACAAAACAAGCACAAAACAACACAAAACAAAAAACAAAGTCAGGCGAATACCTGTAATCCCAGCACAAAGGGACACAGAGGCAGGCAGATCTGAGTTCAACCCCAGCCTGGTCTGTAAAGTCACTCCAGGACTACACAGAGAAATCCTGTCTCAGGGGGAAAACCCAACCAACCAAAACAAAAACCCCACAAAGCCAAACAAATAAGCCAGTATTTAATTAAACAAAACAAATCAAAACCCCAAACAGGAGAAATACATACAGAGACACTCAAACTCAAAACTCATAAAAATATAAAATCAGAAATGATAATTTGAAAGCAAAAGACCAGTAAGGTTAACAAAAAAAATCTCCAGAAATACTGTTGAGTTTGTTTTGTGTTTGCCACCTGCTGCTGGGTAGTAGGAGCGGGATGTCCTTTAGTGTAGTTTATATGCTCAGACTCCCTTGGATAAGCCATTGTCAATTGAAGATAGCTTCTTGGTTATAGATGGAAGCTGGTTTTCCCCCTCAGTGTTGGGACCCTGTCTAGCTTGGATCTGTCATGCTAACATCTCTGAATTCATATGTGCTTCAGTCCTTTTGTGTCTAAGGCTTTGTTCCCTTGGTATTAACCCATCTCTTCTGGCTCTTACAGTCTTTCCTCTTTTTCCACAGAGAATGAGGTGCATTGTCCAGTTGTGGGTCTTTTTATTGGACCCCTTTTTTGCAGGAAAAAGCCATCTCTAATGATGGCTGAGCAAGACACAGATCTATGGGCATAGCAGAAAGTTGTTAGGAGACATTTTATTGCTGTCTTTAGAAGAACAATAGTATTTGGGTTTCCTCTAGGCTCACAGCCTGCCTATCTAGTCTCAAGCTCTTGGCTACCTGAGCAGTGTTAGACACAGGTTCCATCTCATGGAGTAGACCTTAAATCCATTCAGACAGTGGTTATTCCCGTGTTTGTTCCACTATTGCACCAGCGTATTCTGCAGGTAGGCCACAGGATTTGTAGCTGGGTTTTTGCTTCCCTTTCTGCTCTTGTAGTGTGCAGAGTACTTTCCAGTATTATGAAAACTTGTTCATAGGGGTGAAGGCTCTAATTAGGCAAGGCTTGATTTCTCTATGTTCAAGGAGATACGTGTTATTTTTCAGCAATAAGGCCTTATCAGTTGTAGAAGGCAACTAATATCCTTGGCAGTACCCTGGGTTGTTGGGATTTCCATGGGCCCCCTTTGGGCAACAACTCAATTAGGTGTAACCCGTTCCTGGCACTGGACCTTTTACTTAGTGGAGAAAAGGTCTAGTTGGCATTGTCAGTTTCACTAATTGGCTCCATTTAGATGTCTTTCATATGTTTGTATATGTTAAAAAGCTTTACAGTAATAGGTTTTCATGTGACCCCCTCCAATGGTCCTTTAGCGTTAGTTGTCCCTCCCTGTATTTACTTCTTCCACCTTTTCTTTCCCTTTCAGGTTAATCCTCCCATTCCAGTCTTACACACACCCCATCTGTCTATTAACTATATATTCTTTTTCCCCTTTTTTTTCGCGGGGGCGGGGGGAATCCTTCCCTTACTCTATAGCCAACCTCTTTCCAGAGAACATGCTTTTATGTATGGATGTTGGGCCTGGTTAATTTCAGTGCATTCTGGCCTTTATATACAAGTCTTTTTTTGGTGGTTGTTTATTTTAGTAATAGTTTATTAAAAATAAGGACAAAGGGGTTTCTTGGTTTTAGTCCCAAGTCAGAGGTCCACACCAGAGGATGGCACTCCTTGCTGCTTGCTGGCTGTCTTGACTTATGTAATCCTAATGACATCCCAAAGGCCTCATCCATCCTAAGACCACAAGTTTTTACCACCTTATTACCTTTGCAAGGACTTTAGCCGCCATTGTGAGCTGTGGAGACAAACTGTGTTCCTGCTTCCTACCGTGCAGCTTTGTAACTTCTGTATTCTACTTGGTGCATTAATGTAATTAATCTACTTTCTGCTGATGCACAGATGTCACCCATCTCTCATTCCTCTGTATAGCAGTGAGCTGATAGCTCATTTAGTCCCTTATTTTTGGACTTTGGAGCTATTGCCTCATAATTGAACATCTTTATTCTTGAACTCTTTTCCATAGTTAGAGTTAGCAGTGAAGATAGGTCTTCAGGAGTGGAACTCCCAGGCTCTAGCCCTCAACACACCTGAAGTTCTGGCAGCTTTTTACCAGCTGCTTCACTGAGGCTGCTTACACTCCACCATCAGTGGAGGATGCCTTTTCCACGGCACCTACAACTGCTTCTGATGGCTGAATGGCTGAAGATATATTCGGAGTCTAGCTGGAGTTACTGGCAAAGGAAAAATGGGCACATTGACTATTTCAGTCCTATACTTGATATTCATTCCACTCAAAGTCCAAAAGGGAAAGAAGGCTTGTAGAGGAAGAGACATGACAGGCCCACTCTGGTGTCTCTTTGTGAGTGAGCTAGGGCTCCTGCTCAAAACCCATGGAGCCAGTGTTATCTGACTGTACTGACCACAGCTCAGTGGAGAGGGTGTACACTGAGCTGGAACCAGGGTGCACTTCTCAAGCTAAGGACGATAGTCTTGGTGTATGTATGGAGCAAGGAAGCTACTGAAGGGTTACAAGCATACAGGGAAGGACTTGTTTGGGTCAGTCATCTAGGGTGAACTAGGCACTTTGAAAACCTTAAAACATTGCTGCCCAGATGACCTGCTCTGCCTAAGACAAAGCTATACTTAGCTATGTGATTAGGTGGCTCAAAATATGGGGCTGTCCCAAGGCTAATCTCTATAGGCTTTTGTGTTCTAGGTTTCCGTGAAGGGCAGCCTCTTGTCTTAGTCCTAAGGCCTGGCGCCAAAACAAGCTCAAGTAGCAGCCAATGCTCATAGCTCATATTCTTCTAGGTATTAGTTGTACAATTACACATAATGACGTTTCAAACAATAGCAGACAGTATACAGTGGTGGTCCCATAAAGTATACTCTAATTTCATATACCATGAAGCCATGCACAACTGAATTTATGTAATTCTCAAAACAGCCTGTGACATGGTATAGATTATGAGACCAAAGAACAAAGGGCTTGAATATGCAGTCACCTGGCAGAGCCTGTTTATTACTGTGACACAGTTGTGTCTCCAGAACACTTAGTTATAACCCCAGTAGATGCTGCGGGCAGAATGGGACCTATCAAATGGTTCTGGGAAACCTTCCTCTGAGTCCACCTGACTTTGGAGGTAATGTGGTCTCTTTAAAACTTGTTGGCTAACTTAGTGTAGGTTCTCAGATGCTGAACACCGTTTTCCCATCTGTAAAGAAGGGTAGTGAACTCCTACAAGGGTTGCTGTGAGGCTCTGACAGCAGTTATTGATGAGAGTGGAGAAAAAAAAAGGCTATGTAGAACTAAGACCATCAGGGTCCATTGGGGGCAACCTATCTGGGTTGGGTCCTCTGTGGTACCCGGAAGCTGGAGTAGGAATAAGGTATAGGATTTTGTGATCAGATTGGTAGCTGGAGTTTTAAGTTTCCTCTTCCAGAGTCTGCCCTTAGTCATATGACCTAGGACACATCAGTTTCCTTTCCTGAGAAATGACAGCATGTCTTTACAGATGGCAAGGTAGAGGCTTCTTAGCTTACTCCACATGCAGTGTTCAGAAGCCAGCACACGGGGCTTCAGGGTCAGGTTGGTTTATGTGCTGGCCCTGCACCCTCACCCGCTGACAATGTCTACTGTCTTCCAGGTCGATCCTTCGGGACCCAGTCTCATCATGTCTCGGACAGATGGCAGAGGGTACAGGTGGCGGCGATCTCCTGACAGCTGGACCTCCCACAATGTGAAGCTTTTGCTTGGGTTTCCCATTCTACCCTTTTATTTTTCCCTTATAATAATAATTTTTTTAAAACATTAAACCATCAAGACTTCTGAAGAGCAGAAGGCTACACTCTGGACAGGCACCTTTCTATTGTTTTGAGTTATTTTGTTTTGTTTTTAAGAACATTGAATGTGGACAAAGCTTATGCATATATTAACCGTTAATCCGTTAATTTCTTAAGTTAGGAAGCAATTTTGGGTTTATATTTCATGTTCTGTTTTCTTTCTTACACATCTCTAAGTTGTGCTTTAGAATCCCACTTCCCAAAGACATTCTGTCTACCCAGAGTTTTGGTATTTCTCCAGGAAGCAGCCTCTGAGTTGCCTCCCTGCCAGATGTGGGAGCTGTTGGACTCATTGGATGGGCTGGTCCTATCAAGCCCTCAGGCCTCAGGCAGGGTTAGAGGTGAAGAACCTCACAGAAGAGGAACACCAGGGTTTGGCCAGAAGGACCTGAGAAAGAAGACCTAAACTATGGGTTTTGGTTCTCTTTAAGTTCTTGGGAGCCTCAGGCCATACTAGGATTCACTGTCGTAGGAATTGCTTCCCTCTTCTGCCCTTTCCAACTGGGGTCCCTGAGGAGGGAGATCAAGAGTGATGATCCCATCACTTGGGAATAGAAACCCAACCCCACCCTACTTGCACAGCCTATCTTCTATTAGGACTGTTGTGCCAATCCTCAGTCAGATCTAGTCTTCCTTGGCCTCTTGTCAGTACTATGAGGCCAACACCTTTCATCCTCTGCCTCCTGAATTGTCTTCCCAGTGTGCTACAAGTCCAGCCTGTCACAGAGACTACCTAGGCCCTTCTTTGGTCCTTGCAGAGTATCCTCAACTGGCTGCTGCCAGCATTTTCTCACAGTGAGAGGTGCGCCCTATGTACCAGGATCCATGGTGTCACTCACCACTGGGTGGCACTGTCAAGCGCCATCTCTCTTACTCCCAGGGACTTCATGTTAGGTGATCAACCTTTATGTCACTGTTGTCTGATGAGAAGAGAAAGGACCCGCCTTGAATAGGGAGGTCTGGGGGAGGTAGGGGTGCCCATGTGGCTACTTAGAGGGCCCATATAGCAGCTAGCCATCTAAAGCACCCCAGCCTAGATCCCTGTGACAGCTGCCTCTGTCTGCAAAGCCTTTCACTCTGAGCTCCCTTGCAGTGTTCTTACAGCGTCCTGAGGGAAGGCATCCTCTCCAGCCGCGTCATGGACCTACCGTTCTCTGGTGGTGCCCTCTCCTTCACTGCACCTTTGGTTGCTGCAGAGCCCTTCTAGACTTGCCACCTTGTTCTGTCCACACGGGATGGGGTCTCTGGACAAGGAAAGAAGGTGTCTGTTCATTCTTGTTTATTCCTAAACTAGCATAGGATGGATAGGGAAATAAGAGGCCAAGGGGAGCTTTTCCCTCATGCAGGGGATCCCTTGGCCCTGTAGTATGGGGAAGACAAGGCCAGCACAACGTTGAACCCTGCTCAGCTCTGTCCACTAGCATTTTTCAATCTTCTCTCAGGCAGCTCAGCACCAAAGTTTCTTTCTCCTCTTGGCCAGAGGTCTGCTGCTGTTCTGTGGGTGGTAACCTAGGCCTGTACTTGTGCTGTGCTGTGATAGCATCTCCTCTAGTGGCTTTTTAAGCAGCCTCCTGAGCCTAATCAGAGTGGCACCTGGGAGGGTGGGAACAGCAGCACCCTCTAATTGCAAAATACATTCCATTTCTCTTCTTCTGCCCTCCCTTCCTTTGGGTGCTGCTGGCTCTTTGTGCCTGAGCAAATGGGAAAAGCAAAAGTCTCTGAGCTCAGGACCCCAGCTCTTCCCTGCTGCAGTCCTGCTCTAGGTTCCTGGTTAAAGACTTAGGCCTAGCAAATCATTATTCTACCTACCCTTTTCTTTCCTGTTCCCTGCCCCTTAGCTGTTGGTCTCGCTAAGACTTGGGCTGTAGTGCTTTCCAACTGCATGGTGTTTTGGTGTCAAAGAAAGTAGCCCCTGTAGGCTGCAGGTGGGTATCCCGTGAGTAGCCTGCTTCCCTGCACCTTATCTTCTACGACTCCCAGCTGGTTCTGGCCTGGAGATTGCACCTCTTTTTCTGGCTCAAATGAGAGCCAGGTCTTGAGCCCCAAGTGCCTGTCCCTGCTTTTTTCTTCCCTCCCTCCCATGCAATCTATGCTAACACTTGCCAGCTAGATGGACACTGGCGCTGTAACATGCCTGCTGTGCTCTGGTCGGTGAGTCACCCCTGGTGGGCTCTGTAGTTAGTCTTCTCAGAGTCCAACTCCCTGTCCTTCTTGGTCTTGGGATCAGTACCCTTTTCCTTTGTCACTTCCCTCTTCTGCCTCTATATGGGTTGTGGGCCTGCCAGTAGCTCTGTGGGGCATCATCTCAGGTGCCTCTAGGCTTGTTAGATCTGTCCACATTCTGGAAGTTTGTGGAACTTCTGACATTTGTCCTTTACGGGGGGCTGTGAGGATTGCCTGTTGGGAGACTGTTCTGGCCTCAGTTCTCTGTGCTCAGAGCTCAGCTCCCTCTCAGTGAAGGGGGTCAGCAGGACAGATCATAGTGCCTTATTCCATTGTCCCCCCCTGTCCAGACTCAGCCAGAAGCAGGTGTCTGTCTTCTGGGTCCATTTGTCACTTGTACTCATACTCTCCCACCTTCATATAGCCACAGGGGAAGGAAAACTCTGAGCCCCTACCCACCTCCTGTGGGCTATAGCCGGACACACCTCCCTCTAGCCTCCATGGCCCTTACAGCAGCTTCAGACCAGGACCAAATGCTGCTGCCCACATGCACACTGCCTTCATCCCTCCCTGTTCTTACCTCTAGCCAGGACGACACCGACTGCACCATCCAAACTGGCACCAGCTAACCCTGTTCTGGTCACAGGAGACTAAGGTTCAGGCCATACCCTCACCTAGCTTGGGGTCATTGAGGTAGGGAGTAGGAACTCTGATTCCCTCCTTGGAGGGTTTGCTTTTGGGCTGCCTGAGGGATGTTTTAATGTTTACTTAAAGAAAATACCCTGTTTACAGGAGAGGTGCGTCCACACTAGGTGAAGATTTGACTCTGGGTAGGCCTGGCCTCCTTTGTGACACTGCCAGTAGTTAACTCCAGTGGTAGTGAAGGCAGGGAAGCCCGGAGCCAGCAGAGGCCCTCGGCTGACTCTGCTTCCTAGCCCTGTGGTGCTAAGACCACTCCCTGTCTTCCTCAGCCTTCTCGCCCCACCATCCCCACCTCCATCATTTCCTTCCTCCAAGATTCTCAGCCCTTTAACATATCACTATTTTAGAAAACCAGTGTTTGCAGCAATAAAGTTTTATTATTTTTCGTGAAGAGGAAAAGCGCTGTGGGAATCTGTTTTTGCTATTAGCTGTTTACTATTTTAGAAGACAGCCCAAAGGGATGGATTATATGTGGGTTTTAACCATTAGGTATCGTTTGGAAACATGGCAAGAGCAAGAGTCTGACTGGGATCCTCCAAGGAGGGGAACTTTACTACCTTTGCCTTATTCTGTCCTGCCCCTTCAGCCCTGCCCACTGAGAGCTCTTCCCACCTCTCTTGCTCGTTTGCCTCTCCTTCCACATCTGGGGGCACTAGCGACCCAATTCTAGGTGGGTCTTTGGGCTACCCCTCTCCCGGGTTCTCTCTCCGTGTCTGACAGCTGCTGGGCATCTACCTCAGAATTGGCTAAGCATGGTTATTGAGCTCTCCAGGTCAGCAGTCTCAGGAGGTTGATGTCTCTGCCTTCCCCGATTCTGAGCTAGTCATATAGCCTTCAGGTCAGCACGGCCAGCTGGAGGTCGAGGGAAAGGAGCCTTGTCTGGGTGTGTGCTCTGGAAGGGGAACCCAGTAGGTACTCCACAGCATTGGCTGTCAGCATCCACGGCCATTGCGGTGGGACAAGTCCACAGTGGCCCCTCAGAAGGAGGAGAGTGCCAGTAGGAGTGGGCCTTTTTTTTTTTTTTTTTTTTTTTTAATTCACATGAGACCATAGGAAGAAGGAAACCTACTTAGGGGACATTTTCTTTTCTTTTCTTTTCTTTTTTTTTTTTCTTTTCTTCTTCAAAACACTTAACATCCCAGGGGCTGCTTGACTTCAAAACTGGAGGACATTTCAGTTATTCTTAATGCTCATGTGGCTCAGACTTGGTTTTGAAGGGAGATTTAAAGCCAGGCACAAGGTTAGCTTCAGATACTAGTTAATCTTTTTTTTTTTTTTTTTTTTTTGCACAGAAGCTGGTAATTTAGGACCTATGTGTGAACAACTTTATATGAATATTTTTTTGTACTTGGGTTGGTATGATACATTATATTTAAGTTCTTTGAACACTGTGGATTCCCCCTAATGTGTATGAATGACTGAAGCTTTGTAAATTAAGGGACGTTTGTGTGAATAAAGTTATTTGATGGGGTTAAAAAAAGCCATATGCTATTTGAAAATGAGTGTTTTGTGATTGTTTTTATTGCTACTTGGTTTGGACGATTAGAAAGGCCATAGCATTGTTACCAGGGTCAGGGTTAGAGCCGGGGCCCTGGCACCTGTGATATGCTAGACTTGCTGACCTGCCCTAAACAGGCCAATTAAAGTAATAGTGAAAAGCTTGCCAGCTGGGACAAATAATAGCCTTGATGCATCTCTCTTTCCATGTGCTGTGGAAATACTGCCTTCAGAGCAAGCAAAGCCAAAACAAGAATCAAACACTGCGGGGGGTGTGGGGCCCTCTGAATACTTGGTAGTTCTTTTCCTGAAGGTCACATTTGGGATCTAGTAGAGCCTGGAAAGCTGAGCTCTGACTCTTGGCACGGCAGCACTTGAAGCTCACCTGTGTAGTCAAGATTAAGGTTTGACATAGAGCCCACCATTGGGGGTCTTACCCACGGACATCCTGGAACGAACAACAGAAACACAACAGAAAAAGAATCAGGACACTGGTGTATGTGTTAGAGGAAAAGACTT